GCCTGGCTCTTCTGCACTCACGGCGGAAGGGCAGAGACTCTTGTTCCCCATCGCCTGGGGACCTAGTCCCAGCTCCTTCAGGCACGCTGGGAGCAGAGATATAATTCCTGGCTGGTGCACCGTGTGGGACTTGCAATTCCCTCAACAGTTTGCAGTTATGCCCTTGAGAACCACAACGGGGCTTGTTTTACTCTCCTGCCACCCCTTTGCTGCCCCAGCCTCTTGACCTCACACGCCTCGGTGCAAAAAAATGCCGGAAGGAGCTGCGAGACACCAGAGCTTGCCGTGCTCGAGAAGGAAAGCCACACCGAGTGGGACACTCTTCTCCGTTGCCCAAGCTGCAGGGTGCCTTGCTCCCACGGGAAGAATCTGCTCTCTGAAAGAGGAGCTGAAGCTGCCAGAGAGAAGCTCCGTCCAGGAATAGCTCGTGCAAGAAGTGGGGAAGGGAGGCCTCTTCTGCTGCAGCCCCGGAGAGCAGCTGCGGGCCAGGAGGCAGGCTGGAGCGCTCCCTCTGAGGAGGAGGTCTTCTCTCGAGTGAGGCGCTCACCCTTAATCGGGTCCCTCTTGAAGGCAGCTGTGAAGCTGATGCGTTGCAGCTGAGGCCCAGCCGGTGATGGGAAGCTCTACCGAAGGCGCGTCAGTGCGAGCAGGGGGCCTCTGGAGCTTGGTTTCAGCTCCCCGAGCATCGGCTCCGCTTCTCCTCTCGATGGAGCTCACGTGCCTCTCCTGGCAGGGCCTCAGTCAGCCTCGGCTCCTGCAGCTGCCCTGCGCTGGACTTTGGCAGTGCTTCAGACCCTACCTTGGATCGTCCCTTCTCAGCCGGTAAGACCGGCCTTCCGATTTCTTCCTGCTTTCTGAATTGACAGAAGAGATGCACTGCCTCTGAATTTTGGCCCGGGACCAAGTTTCTCCCAGCCGCAGCAGGATGCCGGGCTCGGATCGGGGGTGGGAAATGCTCTGGCCTCAGGAGTTTTGTGGAATGCCGGTAGGGCTAGGAGCCGCACGGAAAAGGTGGCTTGTCCAGGGATCCTTGGGAAGGGACCCAGAAACAAACCGAGGTTCTCTTTTGCTCCAAGATGGCAGTGCAGGTGTGTGTCTCATGGGGGGGGGTGTACATGCGCTTGTGTACATGTGTGCACACATGTTTATGTGCTTGTGCACAGCTCCACGAGTCGCTGTGGTGTGCCGCTGTTGGGGCAGCAAGCTGTCCCAGCCCTGGAGAGACTCACCTGGAAAGCAGGTGAGTTGGCTGGGTGAACTCTAGATTGTGCTTTTCCAACATGGAACCCTGCAGCTGGGTTGGATTCCAGTTCCCATGGTGGGGGTGTATGGGAGATGTAGTCCCAGCATCTCCCAGAAGGGTGCCCTGGCTGGTAAAGAAGCAGCGCTCGTCTGACATTAGGGCATGCTTACGGAGCTCTGAAAATACTGCTTCTTTGCTGCTGTAATAAATGTTGCCGTAAATTTGGGCTCACAGTCTTAATAACCCCCAATTAAAATCCCCTAAGATGGAAAAGCATATATCGTCTAAGTTTGTACACCGTGCCCTGGAGAAACAGCTCCGTCGTTGAAATTTGTTAATTAAATTTAATTCTGTGAATGTATGTATGTGCGTGTAGCATATTTTATAGCAATTGTACTTCATGCAATTTGCTTCACTCCTTAGTTGGGATGCAAGAACAGCAAAGTACATCAGATATCAGTAGCAGAGCCCTTCGTTAATCAAGGAGCTGCTTGATCCAGCTGCCAAGGTTTTGGCCGGCATCCGCCCTTCAGTCCTTCGTGCAGGCCGGCTTGCCAGTTAGCATCTGAGATCAGCTTCCCAGCATCCACCGCCAGCCTCATGCACGCTTGTGTACTCCTTCCCTTAAGGGCTTGGCCGTCTCAACCCCATGCCCTCCAGAGGCCTTGGACTACAACTGCCATCATCCCTAACTAGCAGGGCTGTTGGGCTCACTAACAAGGAATGATGAAAGTTGCCATGCGAGAGCTGGGGAGTAGACCAGATTGAGGAAGGGGGCTCAATATTTTATTTTATTTTATTTTATTTTATTTATTTATTTAGCACACTTATATGCCGCCCCATTCGGCGGAGCCTCGGGGCGGCTTCCAAACCTTCCATTCGGCGGAGCCTCGCGGTGTCTTAAATAAATACATAACATTAATACCATTATATAAAGTCGGAGACATCCTGGCCAAAATTGTTAAAATCAATAAATAAATTCAACCATTAAAATGACGTTCAAATAAAAAGGTCTTGGCCTGGTGCCGAAAAGCAAATAACGACGGCGCCAGGCGGACCTCTCTGGGGAGCGCGTTCCACAGTCGGGGCGCCACCGCAGAGAAGGCCCTCCTCCGGGCACTCACCCTCCTAATGTCCTTCACGGAGGGCTCCCGGAGGAGGGCGTCTGCCGCCAATCTCAAGGGGCAGGCGGCCACGTATGGTCGCAAGCACTCCTTTAGGTAACCAGGTCCCAAGCCGTTAATATCACCTCTGTCTTTCACTTGCACCCCCAAATTCTCAATTCACTTGGCATTTCCCGGCAAGCTGCCCGTGGGATTGTGCCCTCGGTGCTTGGAAGCCTCCAGACTCCCGGACTTCCAGAGTATGGAGCCCTGTCACGGCACCCGTGGGACACTGGTCCAGGAGCTGCAGAGCCGCTCTTCCAATCCACTCTGGGGGAGGTGGGTTCAGACCCTCCCTGCAGCTTTCCTAACAATTTCAGGAAACCCGAATCAGGTTTGTTCGTGCACGCTCTGTGCCAAGAGAGCAATGCCAGCGTAGCAAACAGAGGGCTTTACTCCCCGCAAGGGAAGCAGAGGCGGTCAAGAAGGTAGGGGAGATAGGCAGAGAGCCCAGCCAGAAAGAGGGCCGGGCACTTCTGTGCCCGGAGGGCGAAGGAGATTTGCGTGGCTTATGGGGGCGATGTCAGCGCCCTTGCACAATGGAGCTTCCCGTGGGTGGTCGGGAAGAGCCTGGGTCTGCGGGGGTGAAACGCGGAAAGATCGGCTAAGAAGCGAGTTAATGTGGCGACTGCTGCGTGAAGGATCCCGGGTGTGACGTCATCACGCGAGCAATGCACACATTCCTTCAGAGATGCTGTGTGTGTGGAATTGTACCCCATCAGTGTGTGTAGGAGTTTGAGCAGCGGCTGTCTCTTGTTCTCTCTTGGAGGGACCCAAGAGCTCTGTGGTGCCAGGTGGATCCGTGTGGATTTATATTGGCCAGGCATAAGGATACTTTTCCCGGTTAATTCTTCTGTCTGTCTCTCTGGAAGAAACGGCATAAAATAATGAAAAAGCAAATGAAACATGCACCCATTTGGCCGAGGCGAGGGGGTTCAGCGGTCCTCGGCTGCAGAATTGGGGCGAGTTTGGCGCATGGTATTGTGATTGTTCTTAAAGCTCAGGGACAAGATACACTTAACTTGTGACACGATCTCACACAAGTTGAAACAGAAATCAACGCATGCGGCCCCTGGCATTCTCTAGCCAGCAGTCCTGGGAGTTGCCGGGCCATTTTCGGTCTAAACTTGCATTGGATTTGCATCTCCCTGCTTGCAAAGGCCCAGACCTTTTCAGCATCCCTCAAACACGAAACGCCACGTTTGACAGAGCTCTTTCATGTTCAAGAGGCCTCTAATTTGAATGCCGTTGTAATTTTTCAAAATTGCAAGGCCGCCTCCTTGAAAAATATGTGGTGTGAGATGCATTCCAGGGATTACAATGGGATAATTTTGATGGGTGGGTAAACCTGTTTCCCAGGCACGTGGGAAGAACCTTGACCCGATCAGCTGATTTTGGCTGCCCTCTGCTGGAAGGATGCTGGACTGAGAGATCTCGATTTCCTGTGCTGCTGAATGTTACCGAGATACCTCTTCTATTATCTATTATCTACTCTCCCGTGTTCTCACACTACTTCAGCTGTTCTATTTATTTTTCCTTCTAACTGGAAATAATCTTTCTAGGAGGGGCTCTGTTGTGAGCCGCCCCGAGGCTTTGTTGCGATGGGGGCAGCATAGAAATGTTTTAAATAAAATATGGATAAATAAAACATGGGGTGGTTGCACAAAACCTGGTAATTCAGCTGGCGAGACAAAGAGCACTCTCTGGATGTGCCCACCATGTTTGCGAGGCGGTCCATTAAACATTACGGCCTATTTAACTCGGGGGAAAGATCAAGGTTTGTGGAGTCCTGATGTTGTGGAGATGACAGAGGAAAGGAGCAAGTGGAGGAAAGGACAGAGGTGGAAGAGGGAAGCAAGATCAAGTTTGTAAAGTATCTTCCTTCCAAATAGAACAGTCCAATGAGGAACGGAGCATATAGCTGTAGTCACAAAGTCCTCCACCCCATTGTTTTATGGCAGGTAGCTGCTTATCCATCCAGCGTTGTGCTATTAGTCATTTAGCTGTCAAGGAGAGCACGGGAAATCCATTCATGTTGGTCTTGTGTTACATTCCAAGAGATGGGTACGTGTCCTTGGATATTAAAGACTTTTCCAGCACAAAATTTATCCAGATTATTACTGCTTCCCAAAAAGAAGCTGCCATTAGGCATTGCTAGAACTTAATGAAGAAAAGAAGCATTAACTGCATCATACCTCTAACAATGGGCCATTGGATCAAACCATTATGAAAGAAAAAGGGTGGCTTCCAATAGACTTGAAATGGGAGCACTGGCTAAACTAAGTATAGTTTGACGTCCATAATCCCTTGCGAAACGGGTAACGATGATGTACTTTGGAAGATGTGAGATTCAAGGACAGATCCACTGTGCAAGGCATGTCCAGAATGGTGCCGGCGATGGCCACCTTGTTGACTAAATCTTTACCTAGCCAAAAGTAATGTTGTGGGTTTGGATTGCTGATTGGCCATACCATATGGTGGGTTTGGGTTCCTGTTTTGAGCATCCAGAGCAAGTCTGCTTAGCAAAAAAAAACCCCAAACAAAGGTGTGATAAGCTGGGCTTGCTGATTGTTTTTCCTTTTCTCATGTTTCAGAGCATCCAGCGTGACTTTCCCACGGTACATCCAAGACCCGTGGCACGGAGGGACATCTAATGGCGGAGAAGCGGTGCTCGGAAACCGCGGGTGCTGTGAGTTTTGGCAAGATCCCTCGCTTGGAGGCAGAGCCGGGCCACGTCCTCACCCAGTCGAACATGGTGGCTCAGGCCTCGGAAAACCACTGTGGCTATAAGGGATCCTACTTCGCCTACCCGCTGCAGTGCCATGAAGAGCCGAAAGCATTGGCTCACTGGTCTCCGGCAGAGGCCTGCACACCTTATGCAGACGGGTCCACGGGGCAGCAGAGGCGGATGCAGAAAGCTCTTAGCATGCTGTGCCAATCGGAAGCAGAAGGCCTTGGGTCTCAGGGCCAGACCGCCAGGCATGAGAAGGACAGTGCGTGCGCTGATCGAGATGCCCTCACCCCTCAGGAGAGATGGGTCCACTACATGGGCCCTTCAGGCCTCGCGCAGCAGGGCTGGACCCGGGGTTACTCCTCTCAGCAGCCTCCCCAGGCGCCAGCAGGCTTGGCAGCTCCCAAGCCAGTTTACCGGAACCATGTTTCCTCGGCGGAGCCCAGCTGTGGCCCCAAGGGCTCCCTCGCCCTGCGGACCCTGGGGGAAGGCGCGCTCAAGCTGCCCCCAGCTCGGGAGTGGGCTCTGCCTTCCTCAGGACTCTCGGGTTGTGCGGACGGCCCCAGCTGCAGCAGTGCGGTGCTGAGCAAGGCCGAAGCCGGGCTCCTGCAGTCCCCCAAAGAAGCCTCCGCGAGCCCCGCGGGCTTTTCGCCATACCGCAAGGCCGCCGAGAAGGGCCGAGGGGCGCACGCAGCCTCCTTCCTGGAGGGGAGCTTCGCAGCCATGTACAACAGCCAGAAGCCCTTCCCAGAGGCGTGTGGCGGCAACCCCGGCAAGCACGCCTGGGCCAGGCCACCTCCTCCGGCCAGCCTGCTGGCGAGTCCCCAGCCCCTGGTGTTCCAAGACAGGCCGCCCTCCGGCTACCCGCTCGGCTGCTACCCTCTCCCCTCGCACGAGCCGGTGCTGCTGTGCCACCAGCCGGAGAAGGTGCGCCCCCTGTTGGCTCTGCCCGCCTACAAAGGCTTTAGCTACCCAGACAGTGACGAGGCCCAGCTTTTCCCGGCATCGTTTTTCCCACCGACCGCCCGGGGTTACTACCCCCTGGAGAGCTTCCTCTATAGGGCCGTCGGCCCCTCTGTAGGCACGCCATCCAGGGAGCACGATCCGCAGCACACCCCGCGGGCCAGAACGGACCTGCTGCGCAAGACCCCCGCCCCTGCACACACTCCGCCTGGGAAGGTGTCCCGGTGTGGCTCCTGGCCCGGGGACTGGCGGGAGGGTGGCCCAGTGGCCAAGCCAGCCGGCGAGAGCCCTCAGGATCAACGCGTGGCACCCCGTCCGCAGTCTTTCCAGGCCCTGCACTCGATAGATCAGACGCCCGGCTTCGTCAATGGGTTCGGGCCAGTGCTGGCGCCCAGCTGTGGGGCTGGCCTCTGCCAATCAGGACAGGCTGGTGCTAAGGAAGGGCAGTTCCCGTACTCCTCCCCGAAGTCCGCTTTACTCTCTGAAGCCAAGAGGAAGCATGCCGAGGACCACAGAATGGGCCTGGGGACTTGCATCGTTATTTCTGACAGCCCGGTTGCCCCCCACGACACCTGCTGCAGGGTGGATCAGCTGAGAGGTGTTCCCAAGGGCTCCGATGCCTCTCCTGAGAAAACACCCGTGGAAAGAGCGAGGACCTTCCACCCAAGCTCTGAGGAGCACCCTCTGCCTCCTTCCCCTCCGATGCCGGTTATCCACAACGTCTTCAGCTTGGCACCTTACCGGGAATACCTGGAAGGCTCTGCGTCGGTGGCGGCTCCCCTTTCAAAGAGCTGCCGCTCCGAGGAAGCGTCTCTCCATCACACAGGCGGGAGTGCAGAGAGACGGGGGCTGCCGCAGCCTAGCCCTTCGGGGTCACCAGAAGCATCCGGGGTGCCTCTCCTGGAGCGGCACGGAACGGCCAGCGATGGAATGGCAAGTGTTGGCCAAAGCGGCCTGGGCGGCGACTGCAGAGCGCTGGAGGGCGAGAGCCGAGATCGCGCCGGCACGTGGCAGAGCTGCAGGGCCAGGACTCTGCCTCCTCCGGCGCCCCCCTTGGGTCGGCTGGCCTCGGCAAGCTGTGCAAACGGCAGGGCTGGGGACAGCACCCTCGAAGACCACGTGCTGGACCTCAGCTTTAAAGTGGAAGGCTTGGCGGAAGCGCCCAGTCTGCAGATGTCTCCTGGGAAGACTGAGGCCCTCGAAAGGGAGAGTTCGACGAGCACAGGAGAAGAGGCAAGCAGCCAGCCAGCCAAGCCGGAGGAATCTTCCCCGGAGAGTAACGTACACTTATCGGAAGTGCCCATGAAAAGTAGCTCTGGGGGAAGGAGTAATTTTCACAGCTCTGCAGCATTCCTCTTCAAAAAATTCAGGATCCTGAAATCGCACGCAGCTGGGGCAAATGGCGCCGTGCAGCAGCACTCTGCCCCTTCCTTCCATGTGGGCTCCCAGGCCTCGGCTCTGGGCGACGATTTCGCTCGGCAGCAGAACTCTGACTGCGTGGCGACTCAGCAAGCCGGCCTGCCCACTCAGCAAAGCCCCCAGGAAGTGGCGACTCAGCAAGCCGGCCCACCGTTTCGGCAAAGCCCCCAGGAAGTGGCGACTCCACCCGAGGCTCCGCTTCTGCAGCAGCCGCAGTTCAACATCAAGCTGCCAGCCGCTTCCCAAGCCTTGGTTCTCTGCGCACCGGCCGCCTCTCCCATCCCGGCGGAAAGCCAGGCTGCGCTTCCCCCCAGCAGCGACTCTCCCGGCCAGCAAAAGTCGCCCAGGCAGTGCTTCACCGCCCTGCACAGCTCCGTCTGTGCCATCATTTCCTGCTCGGTGTCCACCTCCTCTCCGGAGAAGCTCGCGGAGTGGCTGGAGAAAGCCGAGCTCGACAGGGAGCTCAAAGAGAAGGCCGTGAGTCTGGCCAAGCAGAAGAGCAGGGCCAAGGTGGCCTCCGCAGGCCCGAAGCCGCCCAGGGGCAAACTGATCTGGCTGGCCTTCAAGGACATGACGGTCCTGCTCAACAAGCTGCTGTCTCAGCTGGACAATTTCCTGGTCACCCGCCAGTGCCCCTTCCCTCACGTGGTCCGGGCGGGCGCCATCTTCATCCCCATCCATGTGGTCAAGGAGAAGCTCTTCCCCAACCTCTCGGGGGCCTCCGTGGACCACGTGCTGCAGGAGCACAAGGTGGAGCTGCGTCCCACCACCCTGTCCGAGGAGAGGCTCCTGCGGGACCTGGAGCTGAAGGGCTGCACGTCGCGGATGCTGAAGCTGCTGGCCTTGAGGCAGCTGCCGGACATCTACCCGGACCTCCTGAACCTGCACTGGCACGCGTGTGTCAAGCAGCAGCTCGGTAAGAGCACCTGGCGGGGCTTCCGGGCGTCCAGCTCTGCCCGTTCGCAGGGATGCCATTCCGGGGTTGCATTTCCTCCGCGGAAGGGGCAGCGCCGTGTGCGTGCGGGTGTGCAGAGCCTCGCGGGCAGCAGGCAGCTGCATCCCCGTTGAGCTCCGAGAGCCGCCTTAGCGGAAGCCGGCCCCGGCGGGATGCCAGCAGCACCTGCTGGCATGCGTGCTGGGTTTTCCAGGGAAGCCCGTCGTGCCAGGAGCACTCTCGTGGTTGTGCTAGAGGCAGCAGGCACTCCTGCAGAGCCACCGGTGTCCCTGGTGGTGCAGCGTTCGGCGCACCTGCCCTGTGGGGCGTGCGAGCATGTCCCCATTCCGCTGTCTCCACCGTCTCAATTGGCACGGGACGGGTTGGCTGAGCCTTTTCCACCCGAGGACCGAACGGCATGCTGGAGAATCGTTGGGAGGCTCCGTGCCAGGGGTTGGCGGCGGGGGGAGCAGTGGCCTGCCATAAAGCTCAGAAGTACGTCTCAGAGGGGCAGCTCAGCCTTTTCACACCGGGGAGGTGGGAAGAGGCTGGGGACGCCACAAAAGTGGAAGGGAGAGGAGGGGTGTGGTTGGGCATTGGTGGCAGAGCCGTCCGGAGAATCTCGGGGGGCCGGATTGCAAGCTCTGGGTCCTGAGGTTTGGCGTGTTTGCAGCGGGAGGGAGGGAGGGCAGGCATGGGGAATTTTGAAGACCCTGGAATGAGCTGCCATGGGGAAATTCCCTGGATACAGCAGTGGCTGACCTTTGCTGTACCCTGCACACAAACCGTGAGCGCGTTCTCACGCGCACAAGCAAAAGCCCTTCCATGCTGCTGCTTCAAGAGGAAGAGCTGCGTCCTGGCGTATGGATCCATCTCTCAGTTTTTAAGGCGACGCTGCTGCTTTTGCCGCAAAAGACAGCTTGAAGAAATTCTCCGAGTGTGGCTTCTTTGGACGCCAAAACAACACCAGGGCAGGCGTCAGAGGGCTGCTGCCAGCACCTTGGGAGGATGCCAAGGTTTTCAGAAGTCCAGAAAAATTTTGTGGGGAGGGATACTAGGCGGGGTGGGTGGAGAAGCCTTTTCCTCGCGGATTGCTGGCTGAGTGTTTCGGGGCATAGAAAGCCAGCGGAGGAGGTGGTGAAATGGAAGGGCATGGCGAGCTGGCAGGAAGCCTGAAAAAGGGCCCTCTGCACAGCCAGGCAGTTGCAATTCTCACTTCTTCTGCCCCCTCGGATTCATGTTCGTACTGAGAGAGCGCACAGCAGCCTTCCCCAGCCTACTGCCCTGCAGGTGTGTGGGAGTACATCCCTGGGGATGCTGGGAGTTGTGCTCCAGCCTGGAGGGCACCAGGCTGGGGAAGGCTGCAGTGTACTGTGTGCCATGCATACTTTTAAGGGAAAAGAGAGAGAGAGCCGAATGCTGAAGCCAGCGGATTCAAAGCCTGCCCCACGGAAGAGGACGGGCAGGTCAGACAGTGCCCAGGGACACATGCAGGATGAAAGAGTCTCCAGATCTCGGACGTCCGGTTTGCACCCAGTGCCTTTCAGCAGTGGCATGATAACCTGGAGCACCTGCAAGAACGGAGTGGATGGAGCCCCTTCCTTCCTTTGGGACGGGGCCCTGGCAAGGGACCGCAGCTTAGAGGGTGGGCAGCTGTGTGGATTGCAGAAGCTCCCAAATTCAGGCTCTGGCATCTCCTGCTAAAGCAGGTGAGACAGGTGTGCGATTCTTTCTGCCGGCCTCTCCGCAGGCTTCTGGGGGCACCACCGCGCGCCCAGACAAGGCCGTGTCTCCTTGTTTGCTTTCAAAATTGCTGGGGGTTTTGCCGTCCGCTCTGACGACTGTGGAGGTTCAGGAGACAGGGATGCCCAGGAGCTGCCCACCTCTGCATTAAACGGCTGGGCAGATGTGCTAGGAAATCTTTAATTTCAGAAAATGCATTTGCTCTTTTGAATCCCACCGTTTTTCCCTCCGTGGAAACCAGGGCAGCTTATAGGAGCCCCGTCCTCCCCGTTTAATCCTCACGACAACCCCGTGAGGAAGCAGAGCCCAAGAGCCAGTCAGTGGCCGAAAGTGATCCGGGGGCTTCGTGGCTGAGTGGGACTCGAGCCCAAATGTCCATCGTCCTGTGCTAAAGCTCCCACCACGACAGCTTTCTGGCTCTTGCTGCTTACTGGGACTCCCTCCTGGGTAAGTCAGATGTGGGCTCGCCCCACTTACCTAGGAGTAAGCCCCACTGAACCGAATGAGATTTACTTCCAAAAGGTTTGCGCGGTTAGGGACTAGAGAAGTTAAACGTCTACACAGAAGGCACTTCCTCAAAGCATCTGGGGGCAAAGGAAGGCAAGCTCTGCGTGGCTTGGGCTGTAATGCCCATGATCTGCCGGCTGGGGCACATGGAAGTGGTAGTCCCAAACCCTTGGAGAGTGCCAGGTTGACCACTCCGGATCCTAACAGTTGGACGCCTCTTGCTCTGCTTTCCTCTAGTCTCTAGCCCACCTTCCCCATCCCTTCCCATTTCCTGTCCCCGGTGTCTCCTCCGTCCTTTCCATTCCACCACCCTTCCCCAACTTGGTGCCCCTGAGATGGGCCTGGCACGCCCACCGTTCCTGGCCAGCAGAGCCAAACCGGCGCCTGAAACGCCCGGGAGGCACCAGGCTGGGAGGCCGGTGTAGATGCCTGGAGGATTCGCCCCGGAGTAGGGCAGAGAGCAAATTCTCCCGCATGGGTGCCACGTCTCTGCAGGAGGCAGCGGTCTTGTACGAGCTTCCACTGTCACGTCGGATGATTGTCAATAACTTTATTTTTTCCAGGTCCAAGTTCACAGGCGGGTCCGCATGCCTCCAAGTAGGTATCTGTCCTTTGTGTGGGTGCGTGTGGTGCTCAGCTGCTTCTGGGGAGCCCAGGGGGAGCCCGGAGGGGCGGGTGGAGGAGGGGGCTGGTGTCTCGCAGGGGCAGCTGGTGGCAGGCAGGGCGGGGAGGGCAGCGCCCATGACCCCTCGGAGGGCAGCACACGCAGCAGCCCCCCGCTCCGTCTGCGGGCTCTCCAGCTGGGGGGGGGCAAGTGCCTGCAAAAAGCCCCCCTGCCCTCGCTGTGTCTGAAGAGCCCAGAAGGCAATTACTGGTCAGAGCAAATCAGATGCACCGCGCGGTGTGGCTTGCCTGTGCATCAGGTAACTTGACAGATAAGTCGGGGCGGGGGGAGAGGCATATCTGAACCACCGGGATGGCGAGGCAGCCCCCCCCCCCAATATGTGTGAGGGGAGCTTGGTGTCGGGGCAGGAATGGCGCAGTCCGTCGCATCCTCCGATAGTGCAAGGGACCGGGGGTGCTTGGTCTGGAGAGGAGAAGACATGGAGGAGCAGCCTTTGAAAGGCCACGATGCAGAAGGCAGGACTAGAAGGCCTGGAAGTGGCAGGAAGTGCATTTCATCCTCCTCTTCAGAGCGAGGAGTCTCAGACAGAGATGGCCGGGGTCCAAGCAGGGCACTGATCTGCGTGATCTTCTTTTATTTTCCGTTCTCATAGATGATGCCGCCAGAGAGATGCTGAGCGACACCAGGCAGCGCTTCAGCGGCAGGTGGCTCGAAGGCAGCAGACGCCAGCAGGTGTTTTCGGGGAGCGAGGACAGAGTCCCTCGGCCAGGACGTCTGAGGGGAGTGTGAGCGAGGCGAGGCAGGTGCACTCAACCTGCAGGGTGAGGCCGCCGCTCGCTCTCTGAGGAGGACACGCCTCCGGGAGGCTGCGCTGGGAGGCCAAAGACTCGGCACGCTGCTCCCTCCGTGCATCCAAAGGGCTTCCCGGGACTCCTCGGGGCGCGCTAGCCAATAGGGCTGCCAGGAAGCCCGAATCCGTGGCCCACGTCCAGTTCCAGAAGGCTCCTGAGGACATACAGGGCCTCCGGTGCGCCTGGCCAAGGGGAAGAAGCAGCGGGAAGAGCCGGCGCCCGCTTCCAGAGGCCTGCTCACCCAGTGGCCGGGGGCTGTGAGGGCTGCGGCTTTGCCTCGAGTCCTGGCCCGCCCTCCCCAGCGTTGATGGCGCCCATGCCATGAAAGGCACGTTCCTGGAATCCACTGTTACAAGATGCTTCCGCGCTCTCCCAGCTGACGCCTCGTGGCTGCGGTCGGACTCGGTGGTTGTGGGCCAGATGGTGTGCTTTAGAACCCGCCCCTGTGGGGCCAGCCGGCTGTGAGAAGGGGGGCTTGGGCAAAGTGTCCTTTGGGGGCAGGCGCCCTGCATTTCCGTGCCTGTGTGAGTGTGATCGTGGGGCTGCAGGAAGCACAGCTGGGCTCTCTGGCCACGCTCTTGATTCCCCACCCTGCGCCAGGACAAGGCCGGGCCCAGGGCACTGTGGGTCCGGGCAGGGGTGGCGATCTTGCTCCGCACAGGCCAGAAAATGAGCCTCGGGCTCCGGATCAGCCTCTTCCCGCCGGAGCACCAGCCCCGTGCGCACGAGGGGCAGCCCTGCAGAGGTGGCCTCGCACCCAGGCGAGCGGCACGTGCAGGATCCGTCTCGAGACAGGCTGGCTTGCTCGTGGACGATAGGCGTTGTCCATCCGTTACCGCGGCCTCTGTGTGTGCTTATCTACACTCGCTCTGCGCGGTGAGCTCTAAACTCCTGACACATAATTCAAAACTGACAGCCGGTGGCCCTTTGCCAGAGAGGTCCCCCTTCCATATCCTTTGAAATGCCGGTCCATGCTGCCCCCCCCCCCCCACAGTTCCCGGTGTGGCGTGAGAAATTTGCATGCGTGGCAAAGATAAGGACGGAGTCCAGTTGTGCCTTCCGGGAGGAGGTGTAGCTTATCGGATTTCCTGCAAATAAGAATCCCAAAGGTTTCTGATACTGTGCCTTCTCTCTCTCTGTTTTTGGTTCTCTGTGGATCCTCTCATGCCAAAGCCATCCGCATAAATTTGCGGGTATAGGTCAGCGGCCAATATGGGTCACCTCGCTTTCTGAGTTGCACCTCGGCTGGGAACTCACCAAATGCTCCTTCAGGAAGTAGAGAATCCCTGCACAGAGAAAGCTAACATGCCGGGGAGAAGCAGTCTAGGCTAGTGTGCCCCCTGACCCGCCAGCTTTCTCTGTGCAAGGATTTTTCTTTATTTTGTATTTATTTTGCTATCGTGGATCGTTCATTATTGTCAGGTCCCACCTGCCATCTGAAGAGATAGCCGGAAAACTGTCTTTGCCAGTTCATCTTCTCTTTGTGAGAACAACACCTGTGTTTTAATACCCATGTGGACAGCTGGAAGCTTTTGTTTCAGAACACAGCAACTTTCGAGTGTATATTAAAATAAGAAAAGTTTGAAGGGCTGTGTTGCTGCCATGATATTGGTGGGAACATGGCTTTGGTACTTAAAATGGCTGATTTTTTTGTGGCTTAAACTACCACATTTTAGAAATGTGACATGTTTACCTTTATAAGGAGTTTCTGCTGCCTTCAGATTGTTTTAAAGGCTTCACACACGGAACGTTATTTTTGTGATGTTTTAAGCTTGCTTCTGGGATCATTCATGCGCTTAAATCTCATCACCATTTAGAACAGCGTTGCCCAACTACGAGCCCCCCAGATGTGCTGAGCCGCAACACATCTGGAGAGTCTCAGCTTGGGAAAGGCTAATGTTAGATCTGAGTAGATTTGTTCTTAAAAAAAAAATAAAATAGAAGGGCACATGTGAACACATAACATGCTGGAAAGCACATAGTGTGCCTGCCTTGCAAGACGCAGGAAGAAAAATATTTCTGCTGGTAACAAAGCTATCGCTGGCGACTTTAGTGTTCTGGGAAACGGAAAGGGGACGCATGCATTTCTCCAAGGCCAAGGTGAGCCGGGGAAAGAGCAGAGCTTTGGTCTGTAGAAAAGCCCAGGCTGAAATTTTGGAGTGAGCCACCATTGTCCAGCTGGACTATGTCCCTGGGGAAGGGTGATGGCGTCGGGTGGGCTAGGTCTGGAGAAGAGCAAGCCCTGCTCACCGCACGTGGCTTTCATGGGGCTCTAGGCAGGTTGCCAGAGGAGGATGCTGTGGAAATAACACATTAGCGCATGGGAAGGTTTTTACCTTAAGCGAATCCATGCACTCATGTGGCCCCTCTGGAGGCAGCAACATCTGGATTTTCTGCCAGTTGTTTCTTCTGCCACATGTAAGATGCAGATTGACTGGGAAAGGGGCGCCCAGAACGTGGCACTCTTTTGCCAGGCAAAAACGAATAAATAAAATCAGTACTGTTCCGCCCTTTTGAAACAAGTGCTTAATATTGTACATTTTGTATAAATGTTCCAGTGGGACCCTATTTGCATTTTTATTTAATTTTTTTGTAAGGATACAATTTCTAAGAGGTGCTTCAAGATTAAAATGTCTGTTTTGAAAGCCGAGTGCTCGTCTTCTTTTCGCGATTTTGTTCGGTCTTCATTCAGCGTTCCTTCTACGTGCCAGCCCAGGCTGGAGGGGGAGTCCGTTTGCAAGCACAGTGGAGCTACTGGAAAATAAGGTTTGGGTGGTCTGGATATTTGGGGTGATCCCTTTGAAGTGTCATTTGGCCAGTGTGGTGCAGTGGTTAAGAGCACGGGACTGGGACTCAGGAGATCCGGGACGGGGACTCGGGAGATCTGGGACTGGGACTCAGGAGATCCGGGATCTAGTCCTACAGAGCATGTACTACATCAATTTGTTTCCTATGTATAATATGGAATTTTCCTTTTTCCCAGCAGCTTCCAGGTGGACATTTTCATCAAGTCCAGCACAACTTCCCAAGCTCTTGGCTAAGTCTAGCTTTGCCATTTTCAATCTGCACTCTAAATGAATCACAGAAAGTCCGGGCTCATTAGTGGGAAGACACAGTAATATCACAGATGTTTCTAGCATATCACCAGGAATCAGCAGAGTTACTCCTTCATGCGCACTCGTGTCTTCCTTGTGACTCTTGGGAAGATTTCTAGGAAACCGTCTTGTTTTGTGATTTACGGCATGGGATTGGGACCTGGATTTTGGAAGTGGTTAACGCTTCCCAGTGGGGGAACGCTTCTCTGAGGGAGGGTCGAGTGCCTGCCCCTTTAAAGGAGGCGGTAATACGACCGGTCCTGAAGAAAGCGTCACTGGATCCAGAGATGGCCACTAACTATAGACCTGTGGCCAACATCCCGTTTCTGGGCAAGGTGCTGGAGCGAGTGGTGGCGGGACAACTCCAAGCACTCTTGGAGGAAACTGATTATCTGGATCCTTTTCAGTCCGGCTTCAGACCCGGGTACAGTACTGAATCTGCCTTGGTCGCCCTGTACGACGACCTGTGCAGGGAGAAGGACAGGGGGAGTACATCCCTGTTGGTTCTTCTGGACCTCTCGGCGGCTTTCGATACCATCGACCATGGTATCCTTCTGGATAGACTTGCGGGATTGGGGGTTGGAGGCACTGCTTTGCAGTGGTTCCGCTCCTATCTCGACGGTCGATTCCAGAAGGTAGTGCTGGGGGACCATGTCTCTACGTCATGGCAGCTATGCCATGGGGTACCACAGGGCTCCATTCTATCCCCTCTGCTATTTAACATCTATATGAAACCGCTGGGAGAGGTCATCAGGAGGTGTGGGCTGCGGAATCATCAATACGCTGATGATACCCAGCTTTACCTCTCATTCTCCACTAATCCAGGTGAGGCAGTGGCTGTGCTGAACCGGTGCTTGGCCGAGGTAAGGGAATGGATGAGGGCCAATAAACTGAAACTCAACCCAGACAAGACGGAGGTCCTGTTGGTTGGCGGATCGGGTTTCGGAGAGGGTGGATTTGACCTGGTCCTGAATGGTGCAACACTCCCTCTTAGGGATAAGGTCCGCAGCTTAGGTGTACTCCTCGACCCGGAGCTTTCTTTGGAAGCTCAGGTGACAGCGGTAGCGAGGAACGCCTTCCTTCAGCTTCGGCTGATTAATCAGCTGCGCCCCTACCTGGAATACGACTGCCTGGCGACGGTGACACACGCGCTGGTGACTTCCCGCCTAGACTTCTGTAACGCGCTTTACGTGGGGCTTCCCCTGAAGACAGTCCGAACACTTCAATTGGTGCAAAATAGAGCTGCCAGGTTGCTGACGGGGACGGGGCGTTATGCTCACATGACTCCAGTCCTCCGTCAGCTTCACTGGCTTCCCATTGAAGCCCGGGCCCAATTCAAGGTGTTGATTATGACCTACAAAGCCCTAAACGGCTTGGGTCCTGGCTACCTGAACGAGCGCTTACGTCCGTATATGCCCGACCGCCCTTTGAGATCTGCGGGAGAGTCCCTTCTCCGGGAACCCTCCATGAAAGAAATTAGGAGAGTAAGTACCCGGAGGAGGGCTTTCTCTGCGGTGGCGCCCAACCTATGGAATTCACTCCCCAAAGAGGTCCGCCTGGCACCGTCGTTACTGGTTTTTCGGCGCCAGGTAAAGACCTTTTTATTTAAACATCATTTCAATTGTTAAAACATATGATCTGGCCTGGGCAACTTCTTCTTCCTTCTCTTTCTCCTCCTATATTTTTATTTTATACTGATAATTTTAATTTTGTATTTGTAAATCAATGTATTTTCTGTATTGTTATATTTAATGGTAATTTTATTATGTACTATTGTATTTCAATGTATTTTATCATGTTGTAAGCCGCCCCGAGGTTTCGGCAAGGGGCGGCATAGAAATGTTATAATAATAATAATAATAATAATAATAATAATAATTTAGGATAGGTACCAAGATAAGCTGGGCTCTCTCTGCTCCTCGTTTTTTATCACGAGCATAGCTTGGCTCACTCATCAATTCAAGAAGAGGCAGAAGCCAAGAAATTGGAAGACAACCAAGGCTTGGAAGGGCACCAGTGGCAGCACTGGGAAAGAGCCAAGTCCAAGGAAGTTTAAGTTTGGCCAAGGCCAGGATCATCCATCCATCGTCGGGCGATCTCTCCGTATGGGAGTGAAAGCCAGACTCGATGAAGAAAGCTGGCAGGAAGAGAATGCCTGTGTTTGGGGCATGGTGCTGGAGAAACGGTTTTGCAAATAATCTGGGCCCCCAAAAAGACAAAGAGCAGGTCGTAGATCAAAGCAAGGCAGAACTTGCCCTGGGAGCTAAAATGGAGGCTGCCGCCCCCCAGGCCCATCACGAGAAGGCAAGACTCGGTGGGGAGACAGTCACGCTGTGGAAGGTGGAAGGCAGGAGAGGGCGACCAGCCCCAAGATGGGCCGCCTCCATAAAGGACGCGGAGAGCCTGCCCGCATGGATGTTGACACGTGAAGATCAAGCGTCTTCTGAACGCGCTCCTCAGCCGCGCGCGCCCGAGCTGCGTTCCCCCAGCAGAGCCTGCAGTGAGAGCTCTCTTCCCTTATCGACTGTTGCACCAGCCTCAAGCGATTCCTTCAACACTACAGCACCCATGAGCCGCCTTTAACTCTCTTTCCCCCACTGGGCAGCGCGTTTTACGAAAGCGCCCCCCCCCCTCCTGCTTTCCCGCCCCGGCTGGCTCCATCCCCGCTGCCTGCAGGAGGAAACCCGTGCAGTGAACGCGTTTATTGCGGGGTCGAGGGCAGGGAACCCGCGTTCAGCTGCTCACCGAGTGCTTCGCGCGTAACCGCGCAAGGTCACCGGGAGGGCGCATGGGGCGAAGGCGAGTTTGGGGCGAGGGAGCCGCGCAAGTTTTCACAGTGGAGCCGAGTCGCTTCAGGAGGCGCCTTTCCCCGACCCGGTGCCCTCCAGACACTCTGGACTTCACCCGCCCCGCCGGCCCAGCTCATGCTTAAGGATGCTGGAAGCTGCAGCCCAAGCCGTTGGAGAGGCCGCGCAGGATACGGGGCGGACCTTTCCCCCTGCAAGCCTCTGCGCGTCTCCTCAGACGCACGTGCACTGAGTTCAGCGGGGCTCGCTCCCGGGCCCGGGGCTGCAGCTGCGAGTCGTGCATGGGGTTCCTCGCGTACAAGCGCGCTCGTGACGAGCACACCCTCGGCCTCGTGCGCGGCGCTCGCTGGCGCCTGCGGAGCTCTGCGGGGGGGATGATGATCGCCTGCGGACGAGGCTCATTGGCCCGGCCGGCGAGCCACTGGCCCCCGGGCGTCCGCGGGGCCTCAGTCCCCGCCCCACAAAAGGCGAGGGAGCCGGCGGGCGGCCTGCTGGAGCGCCGGAGGGAGCGCCGCGTGGGTAAGCCGCGTGGCCGCCCCTTCTGCGGAACGGGTCGAGGGCGCCTGGAGCGGGGCCTGCGCCCGAGCAGCCTCCCTTTGGATGCCGTGCGCTGCCCTGGGCCAGTCGGCGCATCGCCGGGGTGGTGGGGCTCGGGCTGGCGGGGCTGGCTGTGCATCTTCTCCCGGGCTGCGGGGACCCCCCAGCAGCGAAGGAAGCGGTGGGGGCGGAGGGAGGGCTCAACTGAACTGCGCAACGAGGGTGCCTCTGAGCATGTCGGCCCCTTAGGCCAGAGCTGGGCTCCCACGCCCGTCTCGCGGAAGTCCGCGCCCGGGTTCCAGCCGAGGCTTTCTCCCAGCTTGGCTGCCGCGCCCGAAGGAAAAGGAGCCTGGGTAGGGGCGCGGCGCGTGGAGGCGCGGCGCGGCAGCTCTGCGGGTTGTTGTGCGCGAGAGAGGACGCGCTGGGGGCGCTGCCCGTCGTTCCCGGGGCTGGCCGCGTGGCCGACGCCTCCCGACCCGCTTCACGCCGCCTGCGCCTCGCATCTCCCGCCGCCTCCTCCGCCTCGGCGCATCCTCGGTCTCCGGGCAGCCACTGCAGGCCGCCCGGGGCCGCGCCTGGCCTTGGCCTCCCGCGCCGGAACAAACGCTCGGTCCGAGCGAGGCCCGTTGCCCCCCGTGCGGGGTCTGCGAGGCCGTGTGAAGGGGCGCGGCCGGACGGAGGGCGAAGGCCCTTTGTGCGGGGCGCGGAAGAAGCCGGCGAGCGAGGGAGGCCGGTGCGCGCGCGCGGTGCGCCCGTGCGAGGCCAGCGAGGTGAAATGGGAGTGGCACATGGGTGGTAGACTGGTGCGACTTGGGCACCCCTGTGGCGGGGCTTGTGGCTTCAGTGCTGCCCCGCGCAAAAGTGGATGCTCGCTCCCTGGTGGAGCGAAGTCATGTCGGTTTGGGTTTGTGGTACCCGATTTCGCAAGCTGCGTGGGACTCGGAGGGCTCTCCCCTTGGAAGGCGTGTTCGTTTGTCTGATGGACGGTGCTCAAAACAGTGCAGGACGAGAAGAGCCGACTTTTAAGATAAAAACTTGGTTAGGGCCCACTTTCTATTCCTTCAGTCTTCTGTCTGCTCAGAGTACAGAAAAGTGGCTTTTAAACTTTCTGTAAGAGGGACCTGCGGCAAATGCTGCACTGCAGAATGCCTTCATAGTATAAACTTCATTTCTGCCCTGCCCAATAACCAAAATCCTCTGGACAGT